CGTGCCAATTCAATAAAAAAATGTCTAAAATGAAGGTATCAAATATAAACTTAAAAACTAGTAACATTTTCAATTACTTATTTATATAAATAAATAACCAGTTTCAGTATTGTCTTGAAAATTGAAATTTCTTTATTAAAAAATAAAATCGAAGAATAATACTGACTAACGCTCATGTAGTGGAAGCCTAGTCCAGGTAAAGGTGTCTGCCTCTAAACACAGGGATCATGGGTTTGAGCCCTACTTGGGTCACGATCATGTTTCTTCATATGACACCAGAACTGGTTGGTCCCAGGATTAATTAATATAAGTTGCAAAAAAATGTTTGCAATTAAGCTCAAATAAATATGTTAACATTTAACATTCACCTTGAGGTGTAACCGGCTACAACAATAAATAAACATATTTATAAAAAGACCCATGATAGCCAAGGAATTGCAAAAAAAAATTTTGCCTTGTTATATCATTCAATATCATTAATGAAACTCATATTATTTACCAAAACTGTCAACATTTTCCATATCTGTATGTGTATGGGCTGTATTCTCTTAAAACCTTCAAATCAGGAAACTGTACATACATAAATGTGCAATTGTATAATTTGTCAGTCACAAGTAATTGTGCATGCCTTTTCATTTCCGTGACAGGTGGCTATAAAATTAAAGACATTTTAGAATAAATTTATTTCATGTTTATTATTTTGTGGTGTATTAAACCCCTTGTTAAAACAAAATTAACGTCACCTTGATGAATATGATTAACGTTTACACTTCCAACTTTGTCAAATTGACATGCTCCGCTTTGAGCTTTGATCGGAATGCTTAAAACAAGCAGCCAGCAATAAATTTAAGGGACCACACAAATGTGGTTAGACAGTTTCGATGTGATGAGACTACAACATTGCGATCAGACTATAATGCTGAAGTGGTTAGTCTTAACACTAATGTGGTTTAGAAGTCAAACTGATTGGATTTGATTAGACAACACCAATGTAGTCACACAACACTTATGTGGTAAGACATTTTGGATGTGGTCAGACTGTCCAAATGTGGTATTGAGACTGCCCCCAATGTGGTAAAACTGCCCAAATGTGGTATAGAGAATGCCCCAATGTGGTAAGACTGCCCCAATGTGGTAAAACTGCCCCAATGTGATAAGACTGTCCCAATGTGGTAAAACTGCCCAAATGTGGTAAGACTGCCCCAATGTGGTAAAACTGCCCCAATGTGGTAAAAGTGCCCCAATGTAGTAAGACTGCCCCAATGTGGTAAGACTGCCCCAATGTGGTAAAACTGCCCAAATGTGGTTAAACTGCCCCAATGTGGAAAAATTGCCCCAATGTGGTAAGACTGCCCCAATGTGGTAAAACTGCCCAAATGTGGTAAGACTGCCCCAATGTGGTAAAACTGCCCCAATGTGGTAAAACTGCCCAAATGTGGTAAAACTGCCCCAATGTGGTAAAATTGCCCCAATGTGGTATAGAGACTGCCCCAATGTGGTAAGACTGCCCCAATGTGGTCCCACTGCATTGATGTGGTCAGACTGCATGGCTCTGCAGGCTCATTTAGATCAGTGGAAAGTCATTAACAATGCTACTATTCAAAGATTGGTGACACATATTTTCAAAAGAAAGGGATAGAAAGATAACTGAATAGTATAGCAAAAGAGAAATTTTATATGTGCATTTCAACATCAGTATTAAAATGGTTACCATTCGACTATTGACTTCTTAAACCACTTATGAAGGGCAACATGTTTGTTTATCAGTCTTTTTTTAAAACTTTTTGGTCATATCCCAGCAGTCGGTCCACCTGACCGGCTTTCCTGGATAACTAACCGGTAATTACCAATTTCTCCACAAGTGACCGACAAGAAGACACTTTCCAGAGCTTATTTTATTACCTTTGTGAGAAGCTTTATTTGTTTTTCAGAATTAAAATAATTATACATATCCATAAATTAGGTCTTCTGGTGGAAAAACAAATTATACATTAGTACAATTTTATCATATTACCAGTTATAAATAAAATATTCTAAATCTTACTTTTCTTCTATTTTTGTAGACATTATTTAAGGTAAAAAATCTAAAATCAAATGTAATATGACATCCTTATAATAACATTAAATTTGCCATCATACATCAAAGCTTCTTTAATGATAGCAGAATTCTATTTGAAGATATGATCCTATGAATATTTAATGATTATAGAATTAATATTTTCGCTAAAATGGGGACTAATCCCCTTTGGAAAACAATCCCTAAAGACTTTGTTTTAAATTCATATCATTTTTAAACTCAGTACAAAATGAGAATTAGAAAACTTTCCACAGAGGGTTGAAAAGTTAAACCAAGAAAAGCTAAGGAAGTAATCGGAAACCAAAAATAATATTAAAATGTCTTTTAAGTCTAAAACTAAAATTACCTTCGGGGAAAGTTAACACAAAGCAAAAACATTCACAAAAAGACAGCTCTAAAAGCAAAAGGCTGGTCTTTTTCAGTTTAAATCATGAAAAAACACTACAATCAAATACAACTTTTTTAGAGTAAAACCAAGAAAACCAAGAAAAACCAGAACCATGTATACATACCCTTTTTGCTAAACCATGAAAGACCATTTTCAAGAAAACAAAAACCAAGCGATACTTCTTCCGTAAATTAATTAAAAAAAATGTCTTTTTTCTCAATCATATTTTGAAAATGAGGAACATGGGCCTTTTTTCCTAAAATCAAGGACACTGAATGAAGTGACGTTATGTTAGTTATTACCATAAACAAAGATTCACGGCAGGTAAAATGTGAGGACATGATTGTGAGTAAACTATGCATTGTGTAAGGTTTGATTTCTTTATTAACACTGAATGTTAACATACATAGAAAGTGATTTTATGTTACAAAGATTTTGCGCAAAAAGGGTCATCACGCCAAATCTACAACAAGACCTTTTTCTAATAAATCTAAGAGAATAGACTTTTTTTTTCCATAAAAACAATAGAATTTTCAAATCATTGCAAATCATTGAGAAACAATCACTTAAGAAATATACATATGTATGCATGAACTTTGTAAGTATAACAAATGGCAGAAAAGCAACTCATTTCTTACAAAAAAGTACATTATATACAAACAAATATAAACCAATCAATCATTCTTCTTTTGATCCACCTGTATCAACATATTATTTCCCCCTTCTATTCCTTTAGATGAAAATAAAAATCAATTTTATAGTGGAATTACAAATTTATCAAAACTATAGATTTTCTTTCACTCCCTTATTTTTTTCCCCTTAAACTTGATTAACTAATACTACAAGGTATATCTTTTTTCCTTTAAAATATCTACCATACAACTACTTCATCCTTAAGCATTTCTGATATGTAAACATTCCATTTTGGGTAGAAACAAAGCCCTTATTGTAAAATGTAAACTCCAGTAGCTTGGTCGCCTACAAATAAATGTATTCTTTCCATGTTTTCACAAATTAGCAAAATTTGTTTGCTTTACTTTCAATTTTTGATAACAGGAATTGATTACCTATCAAGTATCTCAAAAACGGGGCAATCAATAAAAATGGATATCTGGTAGTGGAATAATGCGACAAATCAATTCAATCAACCAATGAAATTTAAGGACTGGTTGAATTATAAATTTAGGACAGGACTCATCATGCACTAACTAGCCCTGTGGTAGGTCCACTAAGTTAAATAACCAAATAAACAAATGGAGGGGATACTGTATTTACAATGGCTTTTCTATGAATCTTGTCATTAAATAAACTATTCCATTTCCAAGCTCAAATGAAAATTCGATTCAAATTTGTATGAATGGTAAAATAATACCATCAGTAAATGACAACAATAAACTAATTGAGAATATAATGAGAATGTATTAAAATGTGCTCTTTAACTGAGTTCTCTCGTGCTGAGAAATTCAATCAAAGTCCAATTACAGCCATCTATAAAAAGACTCCATTATTAACACTATGTAATGGTATATTCTATGATCAATGCCACCAGTTGTTGTTATATTTTATTGACCTCCTGATCTTCACTAGCGCACTTCCTGTTGTCATCATCACTCATCATCATCGTCATCATAATATAATTATTACCACTGTCACAAGAACATTAACAATTCATCATCCTTATATTAATCATTATCATCATCACTGACATTATTATCACCTTCACAAGAATATTAACAACTCATCATGATCATCATCACAATCATCATCATCATCATCATCCATCACCATCATCATCCTCACCACCATCATTATAATCATATTATAATTATTATCACCATCACCGGAATATCCACATTTAATCATCATCATTATCAACATTATCATAATCATTACAATTATAATCATCATCATCATTATCATCATCACGCTTCATCATCACTACCACCACCAATATGACCATCATAATCACCATCTTCATTACTTATCAAGTCATCATTTACAACAAAACTATTACAAAATTAAAATATAGATGTTTCATAGCAAGCCTTTCATTTCTCCACAATAATGGAACTCTATGGCAGTATAGTTATGCTTGCTGACAAACAATCCTCATGCCTCTTCCCCCTGAGGGTCTGAATGGCCCACTGACAGAGTTTTTTTTTATATTAAGGAAGCTATACAGATAGCTTACTGAAAGTTTTTTATTGTACAATTGTAAGTGATCTACTTTCTCAGTCATTAAAATAATGAACAGTAATACCAAAACACCTCTTTTTATCAAGGTTAACCACAAAACTGCAGTAACTTATATGAAATAAAGGACTTACAACAGTTTGGCGATCAACCCTCGGTATATAAAAGCTATAACAATAGCAATGATTGTGATGAACAAAATATACATTAAACACATGAAACAAAAACTTAAATGCAGTCTATATTCTATCTTTGCACTGAATCCATTGCATAATATTATATTAATGAAATTTTTGTTTTACAAAAATCTATACAAGATAGAATTGTATGAAACTATGTCACCTGGATTGTTGAGAATTGATGATAATCCATGGCCTATAGATTGATATCCAGTTTCTGGAGTGACAGTGAAGGAGCTGGAAGTATAAATCAATTTACTGGATGACAAAATATCAGTAACCTGTGATAACATTGTATCAAATATCATACACATTCTATAAATATGATAAGAACACAAAATAATTAAAGGTGAAAGAACAAATTATTTAGAATACTGCATGAATAACCAGTCACCATGCTGAATATAAAATTATTGGCAAATACTGAATCTTATTTTTTACAAGGACAGTGTTGTGTTGTTTTAATGGAACCCAAAATCTATATAATTATCTGTCATTTAATGGCCCAAAATAGTTCAAACTTTATCAAAGTAGTTCTCAACAATGGGTAGTACTTATTTCAGTAGGCGAACAGTAGCTTTTCAAGGTCAGGCAGTAGTTCTGATCTTTACTTTTCAAGGTCAGACAGTAGTTCTGACCTTTATTTTTCAATGTCAGGTAGTAGTTCTGACCTTTTCTTAACAAGGTCAAGCAGTAATTCTGTCCTTTACTTTTCAAGGTCAGGCAGTAGTTCTGATCTTTACTTTTCAAGGTCATGCATTAGTTCTGTACTTTACTTTGCAAGGTCAGGCAGTAGTTCTCATGTTTTTCTTTTCAAGGTCAGGCAGTAGTTCTGGTATTTTCTTAACAAGGTCAGGCAGTTGTTCTGACCTTTACTTTTCAAGGTCAAGCAGCAGTTCTAGTCTTTACTTTTCAAGGTCAGGCAGCAGTTCTAGTCTTTACTTTTTAAGGTCAGGCAGCAGTTCTAGTCTTTACTTTTCAAGGTCAGACAGCAGTTCTAGTCTTTAATTTTAATGTCAGGCAGTTGTTCTGACCTTTACTTTTCAAGGTCAACCATAGTTACGATTGTTTCTTTTCAAGGTCAAGCATTAGTTATGATCTTTACTTTTTAAGATCAGGCAGTAGTTCGAATCATACTTTTCAAGGTCGGACAGTAGTTCTGATCTTTACTTTTCAAGGTCAGGCAGTAGTTCTGACCTTTACTTTTCAAGGTTATACAGTAGTACCTTTTATCAATTTCATAATAAGAACCATTGGAATCAGAGCTTGAGGTAAGTGTGCTTAAAGAGCACCTTAAACGGCACAGTAAGCCTTAGAAATAAACTAATGAAAAAGCATTTTCTAATAATTTGATAACTGGTTAAGAAAATGTTACATTGTTATCATGTGAAACATGATATATATTAAAGTAGAAAAAAGTGATATTTTGTCTTTCATATACAAAGTACTAATTTTTTATAGACTACTAGATAAAATGACAAATAGGCAAAAGATGATTCAGCTGCATGACCAATGACTATCACTGTAGAAACTGTTAGAACATAAAAGGTAAAAATAGATAAAAAGATTTTGTGAAATAAAAATAATAGCATTTTTTGAGGCATTAAGGCATTTCATGTTGAATCACTTGGCAATATTAACTATGAGTGTGATTCTTCCACAGTGTCTAACATGTTTCATTTGAAGATGATAAATATATATAAATTTGAATTAACAATGTACTGTCTTTTTATATCTAATAAAACTTTCATTATGAAGAAAAATATCTTGTACAGAGTTACAGCCCCTGGTCAACAGGTAATAAATTTGCATTAACCACTGAAAACTACTTAGTTTCCTATCCATTGACCTGAAATGCCTGGAAAAAAAATACCTGCACCCTTTCTCTTTCAAAATTCTATCAATTTAACCTGATCTAGAATTAAGGTCAAGATTATAAAACATCTTAAATTTATAAAAACATCTTAAATTTATATAATGAATCAGACATAAAGTTCTCTCCACTGTTATATGTATAATACACACATTATACAACCCAGTAGAATTGGTGGCACTCAAAATCCTCTTACCATACTACCTGTAGGTAATTGTTATTTTTAAGATTTTATTGTGTTGTAAAGAAATATATTACATTTATAATTCAACAAAAACAAGTCTCCCACTCCACATGCTAGTTCAGCTATATTGACATGAAAGATTATGCGTATGTTTATATAACATTTGACCTGAGAAAAAAACACAACAAATTAAAAATCTTTTGATAAAACATTATATTTTTTCATTTTCTTCATAAAGGGTCAATAAACTGGTAAATTTACGATAGATAATAATAATATGAGTTTGCTCCCCATTTTCGTATGAATTATTGCTCATCTTTTTATACTTTAAGTATGAATAATGGGTTTTTTATATAAATATGGTAAATTTTAACCTTTTTGAAACTAATTTCCCCACATTGTGTTACAGATGTGCTCTACTTTGAATTTTGATTGGTGTTTTCTTTTTAGTATCAAGGATTTTAAAAATAAATGTAATTATTTCAATAGCTTAGAGAGTACAGTTGGTCAGACAGCAAGAACAGGCAGTCTAATAGGAAAGACATGCAATCATCCAAGTTGCAGTTTGAATGATACTTTATTAAATAACTTCTGAAGGGGTCACACTATGATCACCCTCCTGGGTTTAATAAGGAGTCCCACTGATTTACTACTAAAGCAATCATGTGGCCCTATACCTTTCATCTAGAAGCCGAGTGTTTGAATCCGGCTCCTCTAAAGTAGCAGCAACAAAAAGTTTTGTGAATAACTTTTCACAAAATTAAACAGAAGACCCCTTGTCAAAAGAATTTTCTCCTTTTATGATAAAGAATATCTGTTTCTTATACTATTTTCAAAAACTATGAAATGTCTATTACAATATGCTTTCAGGATTAAAATGAGTTTTATAAGCATAAATATCTGCGACCTCATTGTGGCGAAATCGGAATTTGCATGAGAAACTCCGCCTTCTGGTCATCTGTACATCAATATTAAATCAACAAACATGGCTATAAGTAGCAGTCCTAATATAACGGTATATTTACGCATTGTAACGGTTGTTTTCATACAAATTTAATAATTTTATGAGATGATTACTCTTTCCTGAACGCCATGCTTAGTGCACCGTGAAGCTAAAACGGTTAAAGTGTGTATGCACATGAAAATCACGTATTTGCTGTGTTCTGTATAGCAACTATAACACTGTGACATAGCACATACACGAACTGATTATAGTCTTCATTTGCATGTTAAAATTCGTATACGAACTTTAGTGTTACCGTGGGGTTTTCCGTTTAAAATCGTAATTTATGAACAATGTTTCATGAGATTTACAACAATACTGTTCAAAAGGTTAATGAAACTGTATAATGCTTGATTTTTAGGCCGACGGCAAAATATTTTTAATTATTTATTTAATGTAGCTTTAAATTCAAATGAAAAGAAATTCATGAAACTACAAAAAAAATATTTATACACTTAATCTTTGCTACTCTAATTTTGTTTAATGTACTTATTCGGCTTTGTGCTTGGTTATGACTTTTGTTGTTTTAAGTAATTTCAATACTAAGTATCCAGTTGTACAATATCTCATCACAATGCCTGGACGTGCTTACTTTCAACTGGTTCTTTACTGAAACCATAAGCTAAATGAACATCTGGCTAAATGAACAACTGGCTAAATGAACAATTGGCTAACTGAATAATTGACTAAAAAAACAAGCAATTATCATAGTATTGCAAGCAATCCATAAGTCCCCTACCGGTTAGAACCCCATCAACATTCTGAAGGGCCATTGGCCATTCACTAATGTTTTAATTTTTCTCTACATGTATTTTAAGTAAATTTGTTGGAAACGTTCTTTAAAAGTGATCACAGGAAACAGTTTTTATGAACAGACAGACAGACGGACTGAGGACACTCTAAAGTTAATATTTGAAACATCCCTGTTATCAAAATATAACATTTTAAAAGCAAAATTCTTAAAGAGGAGATAACTCTTGAATTAAAGATGCAATTTCATAAAAATTTTCAGCTCTTTTTGACTAATCACAAATATTGTTATATTTGCCATGTTTTAAGCCTATTTGTTGCCAAGGCAACTGATATTTTATCAAAATAGGAAGAACAGATAAGACATGCATAATCTCAAGACTGCTATCTACACATATGCCAAGTTTCATAAAAATATTTCCAGTACTTTTTGAGTAATCACTGGATTCAGTTTATGTGTAAAATTTGCCAAATTTTCAGTCTATGTGTTGCCATAGCAACCAGAATTTTCAACATAGGAAGAAAAGAAAAAGACGTGCATAATCTCAAGACTGCCATCTACCCATATGTCAAGTTTCATTAAAAATATTTCCAGTACTTTTTGCGTTATCACTGGATCCAGTTTATGTGTAAAATTTGACATTTTTTCAGCATATTTGTTGCCATAGCAACCAGCATTTTCAACATAGGAAGAAAAGAAAAAGAAGTGCATTATCTCAAGACTGCCATCTACCCATATGTCAAGTTTTATAAAAATATTTCCAGTACTTTTTGCGTTATCACTGGATCCAGTTTATGTGTAAAATTTGCCATATTTTCAGCCTATTTGTTGCCATAGCAACCAGAGTTTTCAACATAGGAAGAAAAGAAAAAGACGTGCATAATCTCCACACTGCCATCTATCTATATACCAAGTTTCATAAAAATATTTTCAGTACTTTTCAAGTTATCGCGGGATCCAGTTTTGTGGACGGACTGACAGACGGACAGACGGACGGACAGACGGACGGAGGGTAAACCTAAAGTCCCCTCCGGTAAACCGGTAGGGGACTAATTACTGGCTAAATGAACAACTAGCAAAATGAATAATCGGCTAAATGAATAACTGGCTAAATGAACAACTGGCTAAAAGAATAGTTGGTTAAATGAATAATTGGCTAAAGTGATTATCGTCACTGGCACATGTATCAAGAGATTTATGGTCATTAACTCGGTATACAATATATCAAAGTAAAACTTAAGTCTCAAAAGTCCAGTTAAAGATAACCAGGGTATCACAAAAACAAAAAGCCATAATTTCATTGTTAGTTTTATTGGGTCACACTGACACAATGTTAGGGTCAGATAGCGTCTCTACTACATCTACTAGTGGAATGGACCGATTACAAATGATGAAGGGAAACAGTGGCCTAGGGGTAAAGGTGTCTGCCTCTCCATCCAGGGATTGTGGGTTCAAGCCTTACTATGTTCATGACCATGTTTCCTTATATGACTACAGTACTGGTTACTGTCAGAGAGTGGACATGAGAGTCATTCAAATAAGCTACAAACTTTTTCTTAATAATCAAGCTTAAATAAATATCTTTTAAACTAAATGTCCCTTTTTGCATTAAAACAGGCACGGACACTGGGTAGAACCATAAATTCCTCATAGACTTGCTAGACAGCTTAGATTCCAGGGTACCGTTTCACTAACATACTTACGCAAAGTAGAAAATATATGATTGAATGTAAATAGTTGTCAAAACACAACTTTAATTTTACATTGATAACATAGATATTGAAGGTTTATGAATACTAAGTTAATCATATACCGACTATTCTTAAATTCTTAATCAAGTAGCAGGACAGTTTCTTCCATTTCATTAAAGATATAACAACGGGGTTAAGCCTGCATTGGGTAATAAAAATAACCTTTCTGACTAATCAAGAAGTTTGTGTTTTTATGCCATTTTTATCACATTTTTATATATATGTATATCCTGGCAGTTGGTCCATCTAACCTGCTTTCATGGATAACTATCCGGCAAATCTTCAATAACCAGTTGCTCCACAAGTGACAAACCACTAATGCCACTTGATTTTTTTAATCAGCAGTGACAGAATGACCATTATTCCAATGGTTCAACATATATTTCAAAAAATATATTGCCTTGCCCGATAATCAAACTAGTTACCCCTTGATTAAAAACTCTGATGCTTTCTTTATCGAGCTAGGCTATGCCACTGACCTGACTTTTAGATAAGTGACTCAGCATCTTGTATAAATTTCCAAACTGCTGAATATGCAGACATTATCTATATCTGAATAATGAGAAATTCATATAAAACTTGGAACAGACGGCAGACAACATTTTTAGGCAGACAACTAGATTGAAAAGAGTTAACATACCTGTAAATGGCCTCCTGTGTGATTCCTGTCTACTGCCAATCACGGGCATATCACACAACATTGTCATATGTCACACAACTGTCTTAATCCTAGTCATCATCATAAATATCTGTAAAAATGATACCATACAGTTACCCCCCTTGAAGACCTTATACAGGCTTATATAGATACAATTTTATACAAATATTTAAATATTAATTTTAAAAGAAATTTCTAATTTAACCTTACTTAAGCAATTTTGCATATTTATTTGTTCTTTATCAGGAAAAATGACAAGCATTTTGTTATTGAGAATAGATACTAACCATAATTAATGTTGAGAGTCTACCTTAATTATACCTAGTCACCAATGGTATCCATCTATGCGCAATACTCCTGTAACAAAGATATATACATATTTAGCATCTGTATCATCATGATCATGTTGAATCATGTACTTTACCAAACATGTTCATGTTGCATGTAGAACATGCTGAACATCTGTTAATTACTAAACATTTTGCTTCATATTGCATTTTGAACAGCTGTACATTACCATACATGTTCATATTAAATCTTGAACATCTGTTCATTACCAAACATGTTCATATAATGTTAAAAACATCTGTTTATTACCAAACATGTTCATATTGCATTTTGAACAGCTGTACATTACCATACATGTTCATATTAAATCTTGAACATCTGTCCATTACCAAACATGTTCATATAATGTTTAGAACATCTGTTCATTACCAAACATGTTTATATTGCATTTTGAACAGCTGTTAATTACCAAACATGTTAATATTTCATTTTGAACAGCTGTAAATTACCAAACATAGTTATATTGCATCTTGAAGACCTGTACATTTACAAACATGGGTCGATTAGCTGGCACATCTGCATTACCAACAGCAACCGGCACATCTGCACTACCAAAATCAACCGGCACATCTGCACTACCAACAGCAACCGGCACATCTGCACTACCAAAATCAACCGGCACATCTGCACTACCAACAGCAACCGGCACATCTGCACTACCAAAATCAACTGGCACATCTGCACTACCACCAGCAACCGGCACATCTGCACTACCAACATCAACCGGCACATCTGCACTACCAAAATCAACCGGCACATCTGCACTACCAAAATCAACCGGCACATCTGCACTACCAAAATCAACCGGCACATATGCACTACCAAAATCAATAGGCACATCTGCACTACCAACAGCAACTGGCACATCTGCACTACCACCAGCAACCGGCACATCTGCACTTCCAAGATCAACCGGCACATCTGCACTACCACCAGCAACCTGCACATCTGCACTACCAACAGCAACAGGCACATCTGCATTACCAAAATCAACCGGCACATCTGCACTACCAAGATCAGCCGAGACATCTGCACCATTAGCTATTCAGTCAGTACTTATTTAATTATTTTCCCTAAAAAAGAAAAACAGTTTTGTCTAGGTTGAAAGCTTGACATTCCTTTTAAGATAAAGCGTGGTATAGATTAAAGTAATTATTACTTTTGTTTGTATTCAATCATGCTGTACATGTATATATATGAAGCAAATCTATTCTGTCAACCATATTCTGAACTATTTTATGGTTACTGAATGAAATAGCTCAAATATGAGCGAAAAATTATATCTATCACAGCATCACAAAATTAAATTGAAATAAACGAGATGACTTTATAGCCTCTAGTAGTCATTAAAATCATATCATATATAATTGTTACCTGTCAGGAATGATAAAAAGTATGACAAATGTATTAAAATATACCATATTTCATTCATGCTAAAACATTAAAACATCAGCAAATGGCAATTTAACTCATATAAAGAAAAAACTGTCATCAATAACTACATGTACTCAGATTAAAAGGAGGCGAGCAAAATCTCCGATAAAATCAAAATTCTCTAATGCTCATCTATAAAATAAGATTTTGATGTTATTTTTAATAGTTTTGATAACAAAAAATAACTTCTACACCATTTATTTATAAAATCCCATTTTCCATGTAGCATATGTGATTTTTATCGCATTTAATTAGAGTTCAATTGAATATATATATATTTTTTTTAAAGATTTTTTATAAAAGATTTTTTTTTAATTTTATTTGAAAATGTAATTCTACTGTACCAGGATCTCTTTTAACCACTCATTTTGCTGATATGTGCTTCAAAAATTATAAATAAAATTAATGAAAAAGTGTTGTATTTTGACAATCCTGAAAAGATGAATAAATTATCAAATTGTAAACAGAACAGTCATACTAAGTACTGTAAGACCCTTAAAACTATAAAAACCTGGAAGAAAGTGTATTGTACATCTATAAATAAGTGTAAATGTCCCCCACCCATCACTGTCATCTATCTTATCTTAAGTTTAACAAATACAACTTATCAAGCTTATAGAAATAAGAGACTATATATCAAAGTTCATAAAAAGGTAACAAATTATCCCTCTGGATATTCTTATCACAAAATTAAAAACTTCTAAATGGTTTTATTGCCGAACACCTGGGTATACTTATAACTTGTCCACATACTTCGGTCAAGTATTTTTGCCCAACCAAACTTTCATATACAAATTGAATAACATATCTGTGTAGATAAACACATGTCTTCCAAAAACAACAATTCATGCTTATAGTTCAATTTGTGTTATATTTACAAAATAAATATGTAAAAAGTGAAGCTTGTTTTAAAAATCTAAGGTTGACAGACAGAATGACTCAGTGTTTCCTTACCTTGTTTGAATTCCCTGTTTTCATCAGACATTGCATCCAGTTTTTAATGTTAATTAACAATAAACATTCTATTATTTTAAGATACAGTCATACCTATTAAAACAATATAATAGTTTCTTTGATTGTTAATATATTTTAACCGCCCCCCCCCCCCCAAAAAAAAAAAAAAAACAAGAGGGCCATGATGGCCCAAAGTCGCTCACCTGTATATATAGGTTTTTGAACAACTTTGAAAGGGGTCCACCTAAGGATCATTTCTGTAAAGTTTGGTTGCAATTGGCCATGTGGTTTAGGAGGAGATGTTGTTTGAAAAGTTTGACTCCATTTTTTAAAGGACGCACGACGGACGCAGAGTGATGACAAAAGCTCACCTTTGAGCACTTCGTGCTCAGGTGAGCTAAAAAATTAGGAATTTTTTCCAACCATTTTGGGAATATGACACAAACCTCAGAATTGTGACCCCTCTCCACTGCCATCTCCCCTCCTGCCCAGGAAAGGTGGAGAACTCAAATGCAAAGCAGCAGTCTTATATGATTTTAAATAAAACACACAATTTACTGTGGAAATACAGGATTTATTTTTAGATTCTATTCAATAAAAATACAAAAAAAAATTGTAAACAGACATTCATACATAAAGGTGGCATTTTATTTGGCTTAGTGCATTGCTGAACATAATCCTTCTTGCAATAAATGATACAGTGATTGGACACAACAGTTACTTGAAATCGCAGTAACTCATATATTGAATGGTATTGCCTTGCAGTAAATGATACAGTGATAGTGTGAATAAATCTAAACCTTTTAAAGGCCCATTATGACTCAGAAATGCTATCATTTTATTTCACAAAAACTTTAAATGTTCGGCATCTTGTTACAGTTTCAAAAAAACATACTCATTTGCTTTATACATGAACTATCTTTGCATCCGTTGTTTTGTTGGCAATGGGTATAATTATATTATATGTATCTATTCAGGTACGTAGAAGGACCTCTTCAGTGAATTAGTATTTTGTATTGAAGTCAAAATACTACTTTGTTAACATTTTTAGTATCTTGACAACAAATTACGGCGCCCAAATTACTGTATATTCAACGCTATTTACCTCCAATGTTAAACATCTTTCATGCTCTTAATCCATTAAAAACATTATTTAACGCATGTTTGGCATTTCTAAAGAATTAAACAAATATGGATTTCTGAGGAAAATCAGGAAAAGGCCTGCCTGTCATGTAACAAATTTATCCTTTAACTTTAAGACTAGAAATAAAAGTAATCTGACAGAATGGATAAAAGGCTTACAGACACTTCACCCCCCAGACACTTCACCCTAGGTCCTTTTTTGCAGACACTTCACCCCTCAGACAGTTCACCCCTCATTTTAAGAAATTTGATTGAGACACTTCACCCCTCATTTTTTTATTTTGTGTTTAACAATTATGCCAATTATTTATGTAGATTATGTTAAATACATTCAATAGTGATTGAGTATGTTTATTGTTTTAACCCATTGTCTAATAAATTTTGAGTTGATTTAATTCTTGAAGTTTTGGTACTTAAGTTTGTTTTCAGTTTGATCCTTACCATATAATAACCATTGAGTTATGTTCATTTGGTGATGGTTTGTGCTTTAACCTTGTGCTTAATTTACATAACTGGTGCTATTCATTTGTTTAATAAATGACGTTATGAATGATCTTTGTATTAAATGCAGGATAATTTTGTCTGATAATGATGATAAATAATTTATATTTACTATATTTAATAAAGCAACCGATTCATTCATTCATATTCATTTATATTCATTTTATTTAATTTATTTATTAAGAATAAATGTAATTTTCATACAATTATACCATTTTAATTCAATTATCTAATCAATTATGAGATAACTGTTGAATAAACAGCTAATCAACATGTTGAATAAACAAGGTGACATACAAAAAACACTAAATGGATGAAAGTGCTGTGATATATCATAATTTGGCAATACAACCAATTAACCTAAATCAGCTTTAAACTTTAAGTAAAAATAAAGGTAATAAGCAAAAATTTTAATCAAATAATACTAAAAATAATAAATATAAACAGATATAAGCATTTGTTGTTGACCAACTTGTTTTATTTACTTTATAGAAAAAAATGGATGAGGGGTGAAGTGTCTTACTGATTTTGGGGGGTGAAGTGTCTTAAGGGGTGAAGTGTCTTCAAAATTTGAGGGGTGAAGTGTCTGGGGGGTGAGGTGTCTTGCTACCGGATAAAATACCCAAAACAATAAAGATAGAGATGGTTCACTTTTAGCTCTGGCTTCCAAAACTTTATAAGCCGCTATTTAACATTTTTGTTTTTCCTCTGATGCGGCATTCACGTCATATAAACGGGTACGCTGAAGACCTTAAGCTAGTTCACTTTGCACGAGTTATTCTGAACTGACTATATAACAATATATCCAAAAACGAAATGTAAACGTGTTAAACCAAAAATAGAAAACAAAAGAAAGAATACGACCTTTGTTCATTATTTTTAAGGGTCAAACTAACTTCAAAAATGCTTACAATTGGGGAAAAATACTGTATTTCTGCAATTCTTCACCATGCCAGACAAGCAGACTGTAAATGGCGTTGCAATTTATCCAAGGGAGGTAACATGTGTAAAAACAGCAATATGCAAAATTTGCTAAGGGGAGTAACTCATTGGAAATTCATATAATTAACTACAAACGTGACAATATTCTACGTATTTATAACTAGGTTATGTGATATTAATATTCATTTTACTTGTTATTTAATAAAAGAAATTATACCTAAACGGATGTTTCTAGCCATTTATCCCAAACTAAATCAAACCAAGTCTGCAATGGGGCATTTTCCTGCAACTGTTGTGATGAATGCTTCCGACGGATCACCCTACTCCGAGATTTTCAAATAGAATTTTATTTAAAAGACCCTGATCTCAAGTTAAATGTTTTTAGGGCATGAACGGTTGCTTCTCCACAAAGCTTTATCATTATCTGTATATATAAGTATCTGCTTGCTGCACTTTCAGATACGTCTGCAACACTTTCAATTTTGCCGTTTTTCTGCGTTCTTCTCTGGTTTTGACTCAAGCTTATATTTCTTCAAAAACTCTGTTTTTGTAATGTGTAAAAATTGCATGCATGTGAACCTTTTTGAATGATCAAGTTGAAGATTTTTCTTCAAAAAGAGGGAGATTTAAGAATTTGCAAAGCCAATAGATAAAGAAGTTCTGACATAAAAAAGAGGGAGATTTCATTAATTTGTGAAAACACCCCTTACTTTAAGAAAAATCTTTGAAAATATGTCAGTCTCCTGCTAAAAGTCGGAGAAAAAAACTGGTGTATGAAATTTCTACAATATATAACTTCCTTTAAATTGCACATTTATATACAAGTATTTAGCTCAATATATTTTATTTTATTTTGATAATATATTATAAGCTTTTATACACATGAATATGTTATGTTATTGGATAAAAATATCAAACAAAGGTGTTATAAGTTTTCATGTAATTAAAATCGAATTAATTGTGCCAATATCCATTGTTAAATATGTCATATTTGGTATTGATTTATTAATCAAATAAAAAAAGTGCACCAAAAAAGTCATTTGTCTTTTTAACTTTAAACAAAAGAAAACAGTTAATGAATTAGATAAAAGAACCACTCTTCCATGTAAGAATTCATTTAAATGTAACTTTCTAATGTGACGTATATGTTTTTGTTATACGCATAATATATAATAGCATTACGGACACAATGTTTTCTTTGGAATATTGCTAAAGATGAATTAGAGTGTACACGTATCTTTAATAAAACATATACATCAAAAATGATCACATAGATTGAGGAATGGTTACTTTTTGCACATTAATTTGGATTTGTTTTGTTTGTAAGTATGAACTATATTTCATAAACATTTTTAAAAGAAGTATAAATTGTGCTAGGACATGTTAGATGTAGTATTGTTAAATTTTAGGATAATTTACAGACTAGTTAACTAAATTGTCTATAATTTAACTCAGTTGTCTATAAAATTCATGGGCTGAGTATCTGGCTAGCTCAACTGTTAGAGCATTGGACTTTGGACAAGGCTTGCACCTAGGTTTGATTTTCGAATGGTGCCGGTCACTTTCGTTGTGGCCGATCATGAAATCCTTTCTTGGTTCATCCACACTGTACCTCTGCTCTGAAATGTATATGAAGTGATGGCAACTAGTACTGGTAAACTGCTTGACAGACTTCTTGGAGAACAATGCTGTGGCTGAACTGTACTCTGGTAAATTCGCAGAGATCCAGAGGGTAAACTTCATGTACGAAAAACACCACAATTCATGGGTTTAGATGGCACAGTGGTGACATCAAGTAGTCCCTTAATTTAATTAGCACTTAATTAAAGCTTGCTTCTCATTACTGTAGATTTGAACCCTGGAAGGATATTTAATTCCTTTTTTTAATTGATGTGACGAAGTTCTCTAATCACCTGGTTCTTCTGAATTGCCTGCAAATAACAAATAATGCTCAGACTGGACCCACTGAGGCTCTCATTAACTTAAATTATGCACAGACAGGGTCACCTGAGGCTTTCAATAACTTAAATAATGCACAGACAGGGCTACCCGAGGCTTCCAGCCTTGATAAAAGTTGAAATACATGTATCATTGAGACTTAAAAACAAAACCCTGAGGTAAAATGTTTATTAAATTTATTAATTTATCATCATTTTACTTGAACTTATATTGGTAGATTGAACTTATAATATTTGTAATAAATAAATTGTTATCTAAAATATTGCAAATTATCAATAACTGTAAATGGAATATTAGGACCTGTGCCAATCCCAAAGGCACTAAGACTGGTACCACTCTTGCAGGTACTAGCATTGGTACCACTCTTGCAGGTACTTGGACTAGTGTCACTGTTGCAGACACTTGGACTGAAGCCACTATGCAGGCACTCTGTGAGGCTACTCCAGCCACTAATCCTAAAAGCACTAGGCACCATTCCTACAGGCAGTCAGTGTCATTACTTCAGGTATTTGAACTTCCCACTTTGAAGAAAGTGCCTTATTTAAAGTCTTAAATGCCTTTTTTTCAAGGAACTAGGTGTGCCTCTTTCAAGCATAAAAGCCCCTTTTGAAGTTTCTAACTGCCCTTCCACTTTAGGACCTTACCTAGAGGCACTAGAGAGCAAATTCAAAACCAAAGCAGTGAAGAATGTAATTCTTTTAAAAGGTAATACTAATAAAGATATATCTCTTTAAAGGTTTTTAATCTTTTTTTATTTTACAGGCTACAGTGTGAAGTGTGAGACTTGTGATTCCAATAATGCGAGTCCAGTTAGTAAGTCCTGTGACCATGGCTGTTGTAAAGATGACAACAACAACACCGTCTGCTGCGAGTAATAATATCTTTATGTTCAAATAATGGTTTTATCCACTGCACTTTCACAGCTCATCTATGTACCCTGTCATTCTCTAAACTTGATATCCTGCACTCATTATTTTTACTTTTATTTTTTTGGGATCTCACCTGGCACTTAATTTGGGTACATTCTTTAAAAAAAATTGGTTCCCTTCACTAAATAAATTGTGTAACCCTTCACTAAATAAATTTTGGTACCCTTCACTAAATAAATATTGGTACTTCATTTTGGTACCTTTCACTAAAATTATTTTTGGTACATCAATAAATAAATTTTGGTACCTTTCACTAAAATAAATTTTGGAGCTCTTCACTGAATAAATTTTGATACCTTTCACTACATAAATATTGATACCCTTCACTAAATAAATTTTGGAACCTATCACTAAATAAATTTTGGTACCCTTCACTAAATAAGTTTTGGTACCTTTCACTAAATAAATTTTGGTACCCTTCACTAAATAAGTTTTGGTACCTTTCACTAAATAAATTTTGGTACCTTTCACTAAATGTGTTTTTGGTACCCATCACTAAATAAATGGTACCCTTCACTAAATAAGTTTTGGTACCTTTCACTAAATTAATTTGGTACCCTTCACTAAATAAACTTTGGTATTCTTCACTAAATATCGTATTTTGCTGATAACTCTTGATATTCTGCTGTAAAAAACTTTTAATACACTGCAACAAAAATCTTGGTAGCCTTAACTGAAATTTACATACTTGTAATGTTGGTAACCTGCACAGAATCTTGGTATCATGCACCAAACATTGGAACCTTGATTTGAATATTGTTATAAATCTTGATATCTTGATCTTGGTCTCAACATTAAATATTTGTGACCAGCACCAAATCTTTGTACCTTGCACTTGTTCTTCTTGCCCTACCCTTTTAATTGTGTAAATGTAAATGTAAGAACTTTTAATTATGTACTTAAAGATTTTATCAATGACTTTTGATTGAGATGAATATTAAGCAAATAAAAAACACAAAATAAAACAACAACAGCAACAGTAAATCAAGTTACAATCTTACTTTAGTTGAGATCTACTTCAGTTATTTCTTGCCTTATGTGTAACATTAATTAGGAGCTGATTTCATTAATTAGAAAGTGTTTTTTAATTTAACTGAAACATATATTTCCTGCCTATTTTTTTCAGCGCACCATTCTGGACATGGGGTGTAGTTGTAGGGATAGTGGTGGCCGCTATTTTTGTAATAATTATAATCATCATCGTGATACTTATGTGCGTATATTGTAACAACAAGAAAACACATACCACTCGTCTACGACATACTGTATCCATGCGCTCCAATAGAATACGCTCTTTCCCTGATTTACCATTATATGATGATGTAGAAAGACCCAGACCAGGTAAAATTATCTTATTTTTTCTATTAATAATTTTACAACTGAGTGCAAACCTTCTGTTATAACTTATAACTGTAACAAACCCCTTCTTTGAGCGTTGGCCTTTTAACTCTAAAAGGGGTGTTACGTGAGTTCGACTGGGCCCGGTTTGTTGCAAAAATAATAGAGGATGATTAAAGAATAATATAACAGAGGCAATTTAAGATTTTAACTATTACTTTAAATAAAACGATAAACTAGGTTCAAGGCATTTTGTGATAAAAAGAGTTACTGAATATCAGTTTGTTACATAACTATAAGAGCAACGTCTGCATCAGGAAATCAGATCTGTGGCTCGATTGTCCAGAAGGTTGTAGCTTAATTTGTTTGTAATCTTGTGGTCAGAAGTTTGAATCCAGGCGAGACGGGATTTTTATCTGATGCACATGTATCTTTCTGTTACGAACCTAAAATTATCATGAGAATGCATTGTAATTCTATATGGCAAAACAGCATGCAACATAAACAATGCCTCGTGCAAAAACATTACATTTGTCAAATAATAATTTAAGTGTAGTTTGAAGATGAAAGTATGAATATTATAAAATATAAAGTGTATTTTTTATTAATTTCGCTTGAAAGATAAATTTTTTTTATTATATAATATAAAGCATGGTTTTCCGTTGAGTCTAAGTTGAATCTTAGTTATTTAAGTACATATCTAATTAAGTTAAATGCAAGCTAGAAGTAAGTAATGCTGTCTCAGAGAAGGTTTATAATGTTACTTAGCTAATATATATAATGCATGCATGAAGTTTCACGACAGATCCTTTAATTAATCCACGGATTTACATTACAATAATAATTGTAATATAAATCCGTGATTAATCAAAGCACAGAAGGCGCTGAATTTGTAGAAAGGTGAAGTTGTGAGATTATAAATTTGTTTTTGTATTATAAGTGCCACCAATGCTTTCCAGCGTTTTAATTTTAGTAGATTGGCTATAAGACTAATTGCAACACTGATATTCGATCCAATGTTTATTTGATTTAAACAATTTAAAAAAAAATGAGTTTCCTTAATTGGGATTTGAACTCCAGACCTCTCGCTTCCTAAGCGGGCGCGCAAACCCCTCGGTCACGAAGAATTTACGTATAACGGTCTGAAGAAAACCATATTATTCTAGTTATTAGGGTCTGTAACGACGCTAACTGTTGTTTAACACTTGTCTAAATAATCATGGTGCTTACTATAGGCATGTATATCTATAAAGAATAAAACAATATTAGAAATCTTCGACCATTCCGGAATTATTTTGCTTGAAAATTAATCCGCCTGTCATTTGACCATATTTACGCAGTGATCTCCCCTAAATTTATCGGCCTAAGTGTTACATATAAAGGGAAGTAACCGCTTCAAAAAAGCGGACTACTTTCGGCACTTGCAATTAACAGCATTAGAAAACTGAACCTGAAAGTATACATTAACAGAGAAGAAAACAATAATCAATGGATGAAATCATGTGAGCTGCATGTTTTTTGTAATATGCCTGATACAGGACACCATATAAAAGAAGCTGACTGCAATGACGGCCCCAAAACCTTTCCTATTGTCACAGGTTACTGTACATTTAGGTTCTCATTGACCGCCGTACAGTGACCTACTTTTCGGCTCAAAATTCATATCTTTGGCTAATACTCCGTGGAAATTGCATGGAGGTAAATTATCACCAAAATTAACTCTTCAAGGACATGACTGGTGACATGTGCGGGGTCCGTACTCGACAGCGCAAGCTGCATTTTGTGCCCGAAAGGGCGGATGGACCCTCATTAAGCTTTAACTACATACATACATACAAGACGGCCCCAAAATTTCATTTTCAAAACATGTTTTTTGTCAAATGACCCAAGCTAGCATGTGAAAAGCATGACTTATCTGGTTTTAAGACATATAATTCAGTGGCGGATTCAGGCCCGGGCTTTTAAAAATTTAAATTGTACTGACCTCTTTAATATCTAAAATGGATTCATTGATGGAAAAAATTCTTATTGGATATTAGTGTTTGAAATTATTTTTGTACAATAGAAAGGCAATATCTTAATATCACTTTCCTTTCCAAAATCGTCTATTACTCAGATGATTAATAAATTGATCGAGTGTTTGAAATTATTTTTATCAACAGTCTGCATACATTGGTTAGTGTGCTGTTATTTTGTAAATGCTTAATACTTAACACCAGGGGAATTCTATTTGAAATACCCTGCAAACACTAATCTGTCAAACCATCAAAAAGGTACCATAAACAGCACTAGAAAGTCAAGGAAATACATCATTTTCAACCTCATATTTAAAAATTTTCACAGTCTATGGGAGGGGACACCCATCCCAGGCAGGGACACCCCTGCCAGGCCCACCCCAATTACATATATTTTTCTTAATTCCGTATCATCTAAATATTTACGGAAATATTAGTATACACATATATAAGCAAAGTACATTGCCACTCATCAGATGAGCTATAAAACACATCAATTACAATTTTTTGTCACACGAACAAGATCAAGATATTGGCCCAATCTTCAAACATGCACAGTTTTCGCCTGTTGAATTATTTTTGTCAAAATCTTCTACCCATATGTCAGCCCCCCCAGGAAACCATGTTCTGTATCCGCCCCTGTAATTATTATGCAAATATAGCGCTTATGTACCTATTGTGACTTAGTGATGTTCATTGACATCTTCAGAACCCCTCAAACTTATTATATATAATATCCCTCACCCTGTGGGCTCGGGCTTTAAATGTATCCTTGTGTTTCTGCAGATGTTAATGCATGAATAAAGGTGGATCATTTTTTAACTCCCTATTGTCAAATGCATCTCTAACATATTATTGACTTAATAATATCTATAAAAAAGGGAAAATATTTACAAAATTATAAAATTGAACGGAAATAAATGGAGCATTTTATGCATTTTAAATGAGAAAATAGTTATAAAGTGCGTTAATAACATCGTTTTAAGATAATTTTTATTATCCTAGTAACTACATCTTCAATGAAGTATTTACTGAATTACTTTTATTGAACCTACAAAGAATACTGATCTCTTAAATTATCTTTATTGATCACGAGGGCTCTTTTGATATGAATATTTGAACATTTTACAAGGTCAAAATGTTAATGACTGGGCAGATATTATACAAAACTCTGTCTTCATCTTCTTATGACTTTTTAATTTTCTTAACTACTCAGATGCCAAAAAAGTCTTACATTGTTTATTTTTTTCACTGTAAAAAATAATCATTATCACTGTGTGTCATTTATCAATTATCACTGTCTAATGATGAGAAGATGGTCATTATAAGAAAAAGGTTATTTGTTGCTACAGAATCCAGAAGCATCTGTCTAACAACTTCAAAAAGAAAGACTTAGGCACTATTAAGTTTTTTTGAAGAGTAAAATTCTTGTTTAAGTGAAACAGTCCCATTAGTCAGTTGTACGAAGTTAATATCTTTCTTTTTTTATTGGTTTTATGTCGCACCAACACAATAAAGGTCTTGTGGCAACTATCCAGCTTTACATGTTAAGAAAGATCATAGCTGCCCCTCTGAGCATTATTTCTGGCACAAACAGGCACACCTAGTAGAACCACAAATCTTCACTCAGTAAGCTAGCAGGAAAACGCTTCATTACCTGAAAAATTCCAAAAACCTTGGCAGGCTTTGAACCCACACTGGTGAGGGGCAAGTGGTTTGAAGTTAACAATTTTAATCACTCAGCCATTGACACGCTATATTGCACTGCTTTAAATTTGGAACAGTCTAATCAAAGTATAAGGGGTTTCTGTGACAAAATACAAAATTTGAGCAATCAACAGTATCAAGCCTTATAGTCAGACACACCTGGCTCTATACTAGTGGCAAAGTCCATTTACCTTAAATTCCAGCATGTTTAGGTTTAATTAGACCGTAATTTGTGATATTAGAGCTTTCATTTGTTTCTATTTCAGATGCCCCGCCCATGTATGATGGCCCACCTCCTGGATACGAAGAAGTACTATCACAGGATAGGACAAACAACATTCCCCCAGTACAGCCTTCACATGCAGGGCCCATTATTTCTAACTCTGCCATAATAAACAGGGCACCGTGATTATTTTGTTCCAGGGAATGTTAGATGACTGTATGAAGTATAAATGATATGAAAATGGTATAATGTTGTTATAACTTTTAACAATAAAATTTGTGGGTAAAAGTACAACAGTATATCGAGGGATGAAAGCGAAAAGGTTCTAACTCACTTTTTTTACAAAATTCACTTTTTTTATATATTTGTAACATAAACACCCATATACATCTTATGTCAAAATATATTAGAGTTAGTTTACTTATAACAGGGTGAAATGAAAAATTGTCCAAAGGTTCTAAGTGAAATTAACCTTTTTTTTTAAAAAAAGCGAAAAGGTTCTAACTGCAAATGGCAGTTAGAACCTTTTCGCTTTCATTGAGTATAAAATGTACAAGATAATAATAATAATAATAATAATAAAGAATTTATTTAAAGAGGCAACATAGTTGGGCATGCCCAGTCTTCCCTATGAGCCTCTATCAAATATACAATGTACATAATATAAACATTTACAAACAAAAGGTATGATAAACAACAACATAATTACAAATACAATATAGTTAAGAAACATGTAAATAGAAATATAGGGAAAAAACATTATATAAGAATATAATAATTGCAATTCAGATATACATTTATCATTTTATAATACAACTTGATGTGTTTTATTCCCACCAGAGAACCACCATTTAAGATAATTATTTTTGAACGATTGTAAATTTGTGGAGTTTCTGATATCTAAGGGAAGAGAATTCCAAAGTTTTGACCCTGAGTATGATAAAGATTTTCTGCAGAACTCAAGTTTAGGTTTTGGGATTTGAAGTTGTTTTTGTTGATATGATCTTAAATGTGTATTTTCAGTGTAAGTAAAAAGATTTTGCATATAATCAGGGAGAAGATTGTTAAGGGACTTGTACACTAAAATAGCTTTTTTATAATTTACTCTTTCAGAAAATTTCATCCAATTTAATTCAGAAAATAAATCATCAGTGGGTGCATCAAAATCTTTGTCCAATATTATTCGTGCTGCCCGTTTTTGAAATTTATACAGGTCATTTAAGAGTTCTTTACTGCAATTTCCCCAAATAGTGCAACAATAGTCTAAGTGGGGAAGAATGTATGCATTAAAGAAAATTTTCCTTACATGAACATTTAGAAATTGTTTTATTCTCAAAAGAAGGTATAGTAATGAATTGCATTTATTCAGTGTCATTTTGACTTGTGTTTTCCAGTTCAGTGTATGATCAACATGGACACCTAAAAGTGGGTCTGTTTCTGAAAATTGTAAGCTTTCATCTTGAAGAGTGATCTGGAAATCACTAGTATTACTGATAGTATTATAGATATTATTTGAAGGTGAAATAAACATAGCTTTAGTTTTATTAGCATTTGGAATCATTGAATTCCTGTTGCACCACTTTTGTATGGAATTTAGGTCAGACTGAAGTTTTGTACAAATTGAACTGATACTGTGTCCAAATGAGGTAATTGTAGTGTCATCAGCAAACATGTCTGATGTAGAATGTGATAAATGCAAAGGTAAGTCATTAATGTAGATAATGATTAGATAGAAACAACTCAAACTGCATTAAAATAAGTGAGATCAAAGCAATTTTGGAAGCTAAATCTTTTATTGTATATTATTTGATAATATCACATGAGAAATTCATTAGTTTCAGTGTAGATGCCTTGATTTTGGAAGAAAACTTAAGTACTTAGAACTGTTTCGCAGTTAACTCCACACAAATGAGCCGCATCATGACAAAACCAACATAATGGGTTTGCGACAAGCATGGATCCGCGCAGTCTGATCAGGATCCATGCTGTTCGCTATCAGTTTCTCTACTTGTTATAGGGTTTGTAAGCGAACAGCATGGGTCCTGATTATACACGGTGTGGATGCGCATGCTGTCCGTCTGGATCCATGCTGGTCGTAAACCCATTATGTTGGTTTTGTCATGGCGCGGCTCAAATATCTTTTCCTGGTGAAAGGGACTCAAATGTGTTTTGTTTTTGATATAACGGGACTGAAAATAATTTTTTGTGATTATTACTCAATTGCATGTACTTCTATACCAACAACTTATGTGCAAACTTTTAGACCATTAATTGTTAATTTGAGCTAATCTTTTTGTGAAAAATGACCCAAAATTGAAAAGCGTTGCAATGCTTTTCACTCAAATCGGACAAAGAATGGCAAAAACATATGATTTTCAATGTATTTCTGAGTAGATTATTTATTTAACTTTTGTACATATTTCTGTTTTGAGTGCCCCAGTTGATCTATTTGAGAAATTAAAATTTTATGTTTTTTTTTCTTTTGGAGCTAAGTGATCCTTTAACTGATCCAGTTAAAGTCATTATTTATACATCTACTATTATTACTACATAGATTTTTAGTTTATCTGAAGAAGCTAGTGTGATTGCTGGGCATTGTTCTCATTGTACAAAAAAACTTGCCCATTATTCAAACATTTTAAAGGGTATCAACATGAAGCTGTAAACAACATTAAATGTTTGGTTAATTTACTTCATACTTCAGCCTTCTTATAATACATAATATTCAAGTTTGGCATATTTAAAAAAAAAACCAGATTGTTGTATGATGTAAGGGTTTTATTTTTCAAGGGGAAACAACTCTTCTATGCTTATCTGATACTTTCCAAAAAAGGAGATTACTCTCCCTTTTTACATTAGTTTATTGATAAAATAATTGTAGAATTGTTGCATAACAGATTTATGGCTCTCATGTTTATTAATTTGAAAATAAACTTTTTCTGATATAATAATGTTTCATTTGAAATAAGATTGTTGAATTGTTTTATCATAATTTTATATGAAATTATTAGTTAAATAAAAGGCATAGTTGAGCAGGCCAAACAAAATTAACTGTTGTTCATTGTTAAATGGTCATAAGAGTCAATCGTTTCGACTGGTTTACATTCCGGAAAAAGTTTTGGAGGTTTGGGCCCTTTCACCTGCTGGAAACTGAAAGTGGTTAGCCATCATTATAGAGACAGGCCCTATGTTTACTAAGGTTTAAGGATCAAAATCAGGATCAAATTGAAGAATCTCAAATATTTTCCATTGCTTATCCACATTGAATTAATATAAACTTGATAGAATTGGACTTTAGATAGCCGGTTTATAATTTTTTAGAATAAATTTATTGTTGTTTAACGAGATATAGGCATTTTACAGTTGATTCCTGATCCTTAAATTGATCCTTATTTTTTTTTTATCCAATATTTGTATTTTTTATACTTGTTTATTTTCTTGCTTGTTTTTGTGCAAATCAGCATATTTTTTTTACTTCGTTTATATACCATTTTATTATAGGACAATATGATCAATTTATAAAACAATGGAACGAAAACCCTTGATCGTGAGCAAGTAGAATAAAAAATATTTTATGCGAGCCATTGGCGAGCATATAATTTTATTTTATAACAACATTATCATTTTTGTCCTAAAGTAAGACTTTACAATAAACCTCTGTAGAGCAATCACCTCTCTACAACAACATTTTCATTACTTTTTCAAAGTAAGATTTTAAATTAAATGTAACCTCTGCAATCACCTTTTTACAACAACAGTATCATTTCTTTACCAAAACAAAACTTTGCAATAAATGTAACCTCTGACAATGTCTCTTGGCAGCAACCAAAAATTTTGTCTCCGATAAGGGTGGTTGCTATACAGAGGTTGTAATGTACTTACAATTAATATATATTTAATGTCCTATATATCTTTATTTAAAAACTATTTTTTCTGCAGCAGTACATCATTTACACATAATCACATAATTTAACTACAGGAAAAATGTGTATTCAATATCTCCTGTTGTGTTTCTTTGCAGTTAATAGAGGATATTGAATGAGAATACGTTCAATACTGAATTTATTGCAAGAGTTGAATAAAATTATATCATGCGAGCCTCTGGCGGGCATAATACTGTTTTATTCAACAAGTTCAATAAATTCAGTTATAAAATTGCACAAATCTAATATTCTATTTATCACATACATGTACCCCCAAAAAGTCACCGCAGTTTTCACTATGTTTGTATTACGCTAATGACGTCACATCAAAATATACGGTTATGTAATACCATTTTTACGTTATAAAATTGATATCAAATAATCTGATTACATGCCCATTCAATTTTGTTATCGTTAACAAGCAATTATCAATTTGATAGTAAGTATTGCAAGTAATATTAAAGTCCCCTACCGGAAAGAACCCAAGCAACATTTTGAAGGGTCAAGGCCATTCAATTTAGCCATTGTGGTAGACATGAATCAACATCAACATCAATCTTTGGAGTTCTTTATTTTAATCAGTATCATGGTAATGTGTTAAGTTTCCATGACTAATAAGGAAACTATGTTAAAACAACAGATAATCAAAAGTTCCAATATTTTTCAGGATTAATATGTATAACTAATGTGCCAACTTCTCTCTATTTAAATTAAATTTGTTCAAAAAGTTCCAAGTTCTTTAATTATAGTCTCAAGAACAGTGTTTTTTGATGGCCAGACAGACTGACTGACAGAATGAGGGCAATTTTTTTAAATATCCCTGGTTTGTAACCAGAATATAACACTTCAGAAAAAGCAAAATGCTTACACTAAAGAGGAGATACGTTACTTGAAATAAAGATGCTAGAATAGTGAAAACATTATCATACATGATATGAGTGGTGACAAACAACAATTATCTTAAGTCTTAAGTAGATACCATATATAGAATCAAAGATGAAAAGTGAAAAATTTAACAATTTTCAAATATATAAAAGTAAAGTTTATTTCCTGTAACATAGTACTCCGTCCCAAAATACAACATGACATTGCAATGGAAAATACAACATACCATTTAAAATAATAAAGAAGAAATAAAAAATAAAAATCTAACAATTTTCAAACAAATTCCAATTTCAATATGAAAATTTAAGGATGATAATATAAAGGTGCTAGAATAATGCACCTATGGGTAATGATAAGAAACATATATTCAAAGTAGATATGCTAAGAAATAAAGAAGTTGATAAAGAACATTTTTTTTTGATGAAAATTGTAAGTTCAAGGGGGGTAAATCAAATAAATTTGGTACTAGATTTGTGAACCTTGACATGCATAATCTCTGTATGGTCATGATGCCATCTTTTTATATTTTAAGTTTCATTAAAATGTTTTCAGTACTTTTGAGTAATCACAAATTTTGTTATATTTGCCATATTTTAAG